CCACCTCCCCCTCGGTGTCCCTCCACCCGCCTCCCTTGTCCCCCGCCTCAACGTACCATCAACCAACGCAGCCGCCGCCTCCGATTCGCCGGAAAAAGCCCATCAAGCTCCCCCACATCCTCTCGGACTCTAGCTTCTCATCCTCCCCACCGCCCAACCACCGCGATTTCACCTACGACGCCAGAGCCAATTCAACCTACTCGAGCACGCCTTCCCAGGCCTCCTCCGTCTGGAACTGGGACAACTTCTACCCTCCACCATCCCCTCCAAATTCCGAACATTTCCAACAGCTCCAGAACAAGAAAAACCCTAAGCCCCAAATCGATTTCAACAACTCCGACTCAGATGTCGACGATGCCTACTCCGATAACGATGATAAAGCTTCGACCTTCACATCTTATTCAAACCCCCACAAACAGACAAATCAATATGAAACCCCTTTCAGCAGCAATCACGGCAAGGACCCCCTAGACGACCGCGCGTCTAATTACTCATCTTTTTCCCGCTATTCGGACAATAGCTACGCAAGAAAAGAACCGGTTGTGAAGAAAGGCTCGAACTTGAAAAGATGGGAAAATGCGGAGGAGGAGACTGAGAGAGAAGAAGTTCAGTGCAGTGAGTGGGGGGACCACGACCGCTACAGCAGCACAAGTAGCTCGTCTGGTGAAGAGGAGAGAGAGGATTTAAAGTCAAGATCTGATTTTGTGGGCCGTTCGGATTTTGGGTCGGTGAAAAACGAGGGCAGTTATGTGAAGCCCGCTAGTGTGGGGAGCGTTAAGAATGCGGATGTGAATTCCAAGTTTTCGAGCAAGCTGGAAAAGCTGTCGTCTTTGGATGATGACGGCAAGTCTTCAGTTAGTTGGGGGGATGTGAATGATCAGAAGGCGAATTCTGACCGTAGGATTGTAGTGAGGCACAAGGATCTGGCGGAAATCGTGGCGGCTATAAGGGAGTATTTCGATAAGGCGGCATCTGCTGGGGACCAGGTCTCGGAGATGCTCGAGACGGGCCGGGCCCAGCTCGACCGAAGCTTCAAGCAGCTGAGGAGTAAGTTTTTTGATGCGGTTATCGTTACTCGTGAATTCTTAATGGTTTAGGGAGTTTTTGGCTTGCAATTGAAGTAGTTTCATGAATTTATTTGATCTGCTGCTATTTTTATCATATATATTGCCTGCATTCATGTTACGCCTTGGAAAGTAGAATGATATTTTTTATTTTTATTTTCCATATTTGTAATTTGGTGTCACAGAGACTGTTTATCATTCTAGTGGAATGTTGAGCAACTTGAGCTCCAGCTGGACCTCAAAGCCTCCTCTGGCTGTTAAATATCGGTTTGAGCCGAGTTCAATCGAGCAACCGGGTGGTCCGAAGAGCCTCTGCTCCACTTTGGAACGTCTCTTGGCGTGGGAAAAGAAGCTATATCAAGAAGTGAAGGTAGTGATCGAGCAATTGCCAAACTGATATAATTCTTTTTTTTTTTTTTGGTATTAACTTATCTTAAAAATGCTTATAGTTGAGCAACGTTCTTCGGTAAGCTTGTTTACGTGGGTTGACATATTTTGTGGTGTGTGACAAGTACAGCCTAGAATTATCTCAGGTTGTCAAGTTGGAACATGGTGGTTCCAGCTGATTTATGCCTGTCATCAATGATAAATATGAAAATAAGTACAAGACTGAAATACTACCATGTTCAATTCTTAATAATTCACATTTTTACTTTGTTTCAATTTTCTCATTAATTACTTTAGTGAAGCCTTGCTTCTATTGTATTTTTGTATTTTCACAATTTTGTTTTTTTATTTTGCTATTCCATGACAATGTGAGTCCTCTGATATGATGAGATATTGTATTAGTCCTTTCAGTAATTTGTTTTATTGTTGATGATAAATATCTGTTTGGGATGACAATCGATTTTCTTAGGCAAGAGAGGGAGTGAAAATCGAGCACGAAAAAAAACTGTCTTCGCTCCAAAGCCAGGAATATAAGGGGGAAGATGAGGCCAAGCTGGACAAGACAAAGGCGGCAATAAAGAGGCTTCAATCTCTAATTGTGGTGACTTCTCAAGCTGTTTCGACTACTTCCTCTGCTATTATCGGCCTCAGAGACTCTGACTTGGTCCCACAACTTGTCGAGCTTTGTCATGGGTAATGCACAGTCACATTGTGTTTGAATCTTTGTATGATATCATTATTGTCATCACATCCAACAAAATTTTTTCACAGGTTCATGTACATGTGGCGATCGATGAACCAATTCCACCAAGTCCAGAACGACGTGGTCCAGCAGGTTCGTGGGCTGGTCCAACAGGCGAACAAGGCCCAATCCACTTCCGACCTTCACCGGCAAGCCACACGCGACCTCGAATCCGCCGTCGCCACCTGGCACTCCGCATTCTGCCGCATTGTCAAATTCCAGCGCGATTTTATCTGCTCCCTCCACGCCTGGTTCAAACTCACTCTCATCCCCATCAATAATGAACACCAACAAAACAACAACAACAACAATAAAGACCCGATTTCGAACTCATTCGCCTTTTGTGATGAATGGAAACTCGCCCTCGACCGAGTCCCAGACACAGTAGCCTCTGAAGCCATCAAGAGCTTCATCAATGTTGTTCACTCCATCTCGTTAAAGCAAACAGAGGAGATTAAAATCAAGAAAAGGACAGAAAGTTCATCCAAGGAGCTCGAGAAAAAGGCATCGTCTTTGAGGAGTATAGAGAAGAAGTATTATCATTCTTATTCTATGGTGGGGATTGGGCTTCCGGATAATGGGCCCGATGGCGGGGCAGGCCTGGATGCTCGCGACCCGCTAGTGGATAAGAAGGCTGAGCTGGCAGCGTGCCAGAGGCGGGTGGAGGATGAGATGCAGAGGCACTCCAAGGCGGTGGAAGTGACTCGGGCCATGACGCTGAATAACATTCAAACCGGCCTGCCGGGGGTTTTCCAGGCCATGACGAGCTTCTCGGGCTTGATGAACGAGGCGCTTGAGACGGTTTGTAATCGGGCGTATGATATTTAATATGAAATGATATTATTATTATTATTATTATTATTATTATTATTANNATTATTATTATTATTATTATGCTTTTTTTTTTGGGAGTTTGAAGCAAGTTTATGATAGAAAAAAAAAAGGAAGGAAGTTTGTTTAAATTTTTTAAAATTGTGGAACTAATTTTGGCAACTGTGTCACTTTTTTCCTTTGCTTTTATTTTTTCTGAAATTTGTGAATATTTGGAATTTTTTATAGCCTCATCATCACCCTTTTATGTGCAAGTGGGATGAGAATATCTATGTAATGTATACATAAGGAAAAATAGGCTGTGTTGTTGTTATATCAGAGTTTGATTTTGTCATGCAGCTGCTGAATAAATCATCTGTTGTTTTCTTTTTGGTGACATTTTTTTTTTATAATTATTTTTTTCCTGTGGATCAAATCATGAAAATGGTAAATAGTCTCCATGATTTGCTGCACTGC